CAAAGAGGATTTAAGAAAGTGTGAGAACTTTTGGATAGGAATGTTACTGACTAATTTGGGTGGTTTGAATAGCACTCATGACTTTTCTCAACAATAGGCTATAATTTGTATTATGTATTATGCATGTTCTTCGGAGTATTAGTTAGTTATTTCTGAAGAAGGCTGCGGCATGTGGCCGAAAATTTAAGCTTAGTATATTTTAATAAAATCTTTTAGTTTTACTTCTGGCCGTGGTAGTTACAATTGTTTCCTATATGTCTTTGCTACCGAGCAGTGTGGGAATACTTGTTGGTTATATATATATATATATATATATATATATAATAATATATATATATATATAATATATATATATATATAATATATAATATTATATACAAAACAAGTTTGTAGTGAATAAAATCTTATGAAGTAAACCAAGTTTATTTTATTTATATATATATATATGTATATATGTACACCCATTTGCAAAACCCGCAGATAGATAGATAGATAGATACTCGAAGTCTAATTAGAATTGCAAATGATTACATTTGCATGGGACTTCAATCAATTACACAACATATGCAATTCTAATTAGATTTCGAGTATCTATCTATCTATCTATCTGCGGCCAACGTTTTTGCAAATGGGTGTATATGACAATACTATTACAAAAGAGACTTCAACTTCTGCGGACATTTTTTTTATTTTATATTAAAATAATTAAAAATGTTTCGCTATTTACAGCTTCATCAGTTTATTAAAAGTTCAAGCCATACACCGTTCTCTTTTATAATGCAGTCCATCAATTCAATAACCTGCCAAATACAACCATTCATTAAACTATGTTTACTATTTTTAATTTCAAAAGCTTCTAAACGTTCATATAATGGATATTGTAATGCCCCAGGTGATGGGTGAACCCTCAATCATACTATGTGTTTGTAAATGCGTATATACCGTTTGCTTTTCATGGTTAGATGTTCCTTAATCCTGGTCCGCATGGTTCTGCCAGTTTCCCCTATGTATACAGCGTGACACAAGAGATCTTATATATGACGCTTTTGGCCGAACAACAATCTGGTTTGATCGCCATCTTACAAGTTTCGCCATCCTTTCGACAATGAAGGGCCATTAATAAAACATGTTCTAATGTCTTTTATTCCCGACTGTCTAATCACTGCTAATGCTCTCCGTTTTAATTCCTCATCGATGTATGGTAATTTTAAATAAGTCATGTTGGGATTCCCTTCCTGTTTTTGAGATGTAGTACTGACTGTACGCCTCTCTAACAAATCTCCTGGGATAACCGTTGCTGGTAAACGTTTTGGTTATCTTTTTTAACAATCGATTTTTCGATGGACGATCCATGGAACAACGTAACGCTCTCTTGGTTTCACCAATGATTAACGCCCGCTTGAAACAAATAGGCCCATGGCTATCCCAAGACGCTAATGGGTTTAACATACAATTCACTTCTAAATTGTTTCGTATTTTGGTCGAAGCTGACTAGAGTGTCCAGAAACGGTAATCATTTGAGCTGTTCGGCTTTTCCAATGTAAATTTAATGGCTTCATTAAGATCATTGGATATCTCTAATAATTTGTCAGCATTAATCCTGTCGGAATGTAGCAAATATATCATCAATGTATCGTTTCAGTGAGACAGAACCTCCCGACTTCTCAATTATAAGTGTGTCTAAAGAGTGCATGTAAATAATAGCTAACATAGGTGCAAGGTTGTTTCCCATGGCTAGGCTGATGATATCCTTTCTCATGAATGAGTACAGTATCGGTAGTGGGATAAACGCAAAAGTTTTTCGAAATCTCTTACATCTAAATTCGATAGACATGTATCATTCTTATGTTCGTCAAAAAAATTCTTCACAACTGTAAATACTCCTAGTGTATTGTCATTCACATCTTCTAAAGGAACAGACCCATACAAGTTCTTAACAAGCTACAGATGCCCTGTACTTCCTTCCCATCTATGTCTTTAAGAAAACTTATAAAGTCTTCCGTATCCTTAAGATGGGCATCAACATGATTGATGAACGCAAAATTTTAGAAGCTTTTGAAATTAAAAATAGTAAACATAGTTTAATGAATGGTTGTATTGGCAGGTTTATTGATATATAGCATTTGTGATTAGATGGACTGCATTATAAAGAGAACGGTGTATGGCTTGAACTTTTAATAAACTGATGAAGCTGTAAATAGCGAAACGTTTTTAATTATTTTAATATAAAATAAAAAAAAAAAATGTCCGCAGAAGTAATAGTATTGTCACCGGACATGTCTACATCATATATTTCGGGTGTAATATATATATATATATATATATATATATATATATATATATATATATATATATATATACCACGATTGGCGTCAATCAAACGTATAATTGAAGATAACCATATTTATATATATGATATATTGTACTAATTTCGTTTGTAAAGAAATTAATTTTCAATAAAAATCAGCCAGGCATAACAGAATATATGAATTTGGCCCAACTCAATTAATTTCGTTCGATTGACGCCAATGGAACTTTGCCAGACTACTTTATATTGCCTTATATTTAAAAGTATTCATTTCATTGCCCATGAGAGAAGTAAGCCGCTTAAAACGATTTTACTGTTCAGTATATAGCTAAAATGTATCCAGTTATTAGGTAAATTACCAACAAATTTGAAATTTGTATTATCCAGCGCTTGTATATAGTTATAATTTATAATATCAGCGCTAGTAAAACTTGAATTTGCAGAATAGCTGTTAAATATATTTAGAAAATAAGTTATTATTAATAACTGCCGCTCCGAAGTAACTTTAATGTATCTACATTATTACTGAAAATAATGACCTTTTAAACCTTACTTATAAGATTGTTTTCCAACCTTCAACCGACAGCACATTGGAAGTTTATACAGTAGTCCCTCGCTAACTCGAACTCCCAAGGGGAAAGAAAAATTGTTCGAGTTACCGGGGGTTCGAGTTAACCGGAGTTGGTGTCAGATTACGTTTATTATATAAGTAATACAATAAGGTATAAAATCCAATCGAATCATTCTTCAAGGGATATCATGCCTACCAATATGAATGGTCAGCGAGAGTGGACGACGTTTTAAAATTAAAAAGATCGAAAGAATACAAAAGGAACTAAAAAAGTTAGATCAATAACGACCGTACCACTACACAAAATCTTTTAAAATTTATAAGCATTTATATACAATCATACACTGATTAACTTGTTGTTATTTTGATAGTTTCCAGTTGTCAAAATTCTATCTTCTCACATTTTAAAGTTTGCTGATCTATGATTCGAAACCAAAGTTCGAGTTAACCGGGTATATTTGACCAAGGGGAAACAAAATTTGTTCGAATTAGCGAGGAGTTCGAGTTAAGCGAGTTCGAGTTAAGCGGAGTAAATTACTATAAAACACTGTCAAATTCAAGGGGAATTGGATTTAGTTCGAGTTAGCGAGGAGTTCGAGTTAAGCGAGTTCGAGTTAGCGGGGGACTACTGTATACTGCATAATGTGTAAGTACCGACCTGTTGTAGAACATTGAACTCCAGCGTCGCGATGATGAGTGCAAGGATAAAGTCCCCAAGAACTATGAGAACAACTTGTTATATTGCGCTCTGCCCCAGTACAAGAGACATATGCTAACCATACTTGTCCAGAACCTTTGGGGACTTCGTTTCTTTGAAGAGTTTTAACAGCATCCGGATAGCCAAGTTGATGGCATACAACCCTAGCATCGCTGAAATCCCATAAAGAATCACAGATTGTACCCCAATATCCGTGATAGAACACCTCAACACGACCTGCTCCATTTTCACTTGATGGTCCACGTAACCTTAGCGTCACGGGCGTAGTTGAGAAATCTATAAAGACATATTTAAGAAAAAGATTAAAGTGAAACGACATTTGTGTAACTGCAAAGCCTTGAAAGAATATCTACGCAAATGAATTTGGACAATGATAACCAGTAATTATAGAAGACAAGTAGATTATTGATGATATTAACCGGAAAAGAGTTCACTCTAAATAAAAAAGTAGTTTAAAGCATTCTCTTTAAATTAACCGTTAATTGTGAGGGACCATATTAATATATTCTGCTATACGTAATATGCTATACATATTAATATATTCTGCTCTTTTGAAAACAATTCTCTTTCAATACAAATCAGCCTGGCATAACAGAATCCCCTCAATTAACGTTCGATTGACGCCCATGGTTTACAGTGATAATGTACTAAAATATATTCAGAAGACAATGTCATAATTTATAATCTTTTACCTGTTGTACTACATTCAACTCCTACGTCTCTTGAATGTGAACAATAAGCAACACCCCAACCTCCATGGAAACAACTTGCTATATTACGCTCTGAGCCAGTACATTCCAAATTCTGCAACCATATCTTTCCAGAACCGGAAGGTACGGACTGCGAACCCGCTCGGAAGGCCCGAGCAACATCTTGGTAACCAAGTTGACGACACACCACCCCGGCATCTCTTAAATCCCATCTATTGTCACAGATTGTTCCCCAAGTTCCATTGTAGAATACTTCAACACGACCAATACCATCGTCACTTAATGGGCCTTGTAACCTGAGTGGTGCAGTTATGGCTGTAAAATAGTGAACATGGACGATTGAATATCTGATATGATGTGAAATAATGGTGTTAATCGCGTTAACAATTGAGAGCAATCAACGTATACATTAGAGTAGTTAATGTGATGTGAAAATTTCATGTGTTTTTCTTCACAAAGAACTAGAGGAAGAGTTCCACACAATTGGTATACGTACTGTACATATTTGTAAAAGTGTTAAAAATTTTTGCCATCTGTACTTTGGGAATTTGCAGGTCTTGGCAATGTATAATTGCGTTTATATCAGAGAGTTGAATTTGACGATAGATTAGTGCTTGTTTGCCTGGACTTACCTGTTGTTGAACATTTTACTCCAACGTCTGCGTAATGTGAGCAATAAGGATAATCCCATCTATAAGAACAACTTGTTATATTTTGCTCTTCCCCAGAACAAGAGAGGTAAGAAAACCATATCTGTCCAGAACCAGAAGGAGCCTCGTTTCTTTTGAGAGTTCTAACAGAATCGGGATAACCAAGTTGACGACAAATAACTCTTGTGTCTCTCATATCCCACCCATTATCACAAATTGTTCCCCAATAACCACGAAAGAATACTTCAACACGACCCGTTCCTGTTCCATTTAATGGTCCTTGTAACCTTACGAAACAGGTGTAGCTGAAAAATCTGAAAAAATATTCAATATTTGAATCAAACGGGCCTGTACAAATTAGGAAATAGAAACATTTTATTGAAAGCATAGGAGATTGGGAGATAAACAATCAATTTTAGCCAAAGAAGCGAATTGTTATCTGAAATGAAATTGTTAGTTGGCTACATAGCTTACAAAAGTTCCTTTATTGGCTGATTTAATAACTTTCAAGCGTGTGTGACAGCTTACTGAACATTTTGGTAATAAGTCCATCCATGTTCTGAATTGAGAGATATAATCCTTAGCTTATCTAACCATTTCGTTTTAGCAGTTGGGGAAGGCTCGCGTTCAGAAATATTCTTAATATCTATCTTTCGAGCATGTAATTCTATTATTCTAGCTAGACATTAAAAAAAGAATAATGGGAAAACTTTATTAAAAATTGTATAAATAATACATTAAAAATGGTAAAAGTATATTATTAAACTTGACCCTGAATTGAGGCTAAAATATTAAAATATTGTTCGTGTTTATCTGAGCATATCTACTGAAATCTACCAAATGGATTCGATATTTCAATGTTCGCAATGTCACATCTCACTTCTTCTTCCCAGTTTTAGAGCCTCGTAGGCATAATACTGATTACCATGCTGTACAGAAATTGTTTCTTCTCTGACAATCTCAATGTTAGTTAGACAATGAATCGTTCTGCTTCTCTGCCATTCCCCCATAAGGTGTAAAAACCAACTGGGGAAATGAACCATGCTCAACTTCTATTACACATTGGTTATATTATCTCTACTTTTCATTCTCGTTCTTTCTGAGTGCTGTATTTTGGCTCAGGTAGCTCGTAGAAAAAAGGTTAAAAACCCGCACATCGTAAAATGCCCGTTGCCCCCTCTGCCAAAAACCACGCACACTGACGTCTAAACCAGCCTCATCGTATGAGTTGGTACCACCAGGAAGAGCTTCTCCCGTCAGTCTTGAGATGTGGCTCAACCTAAACATCATATCATACATCCTTCAATAGCCTCCTGTATATGAAGCCACATCTCATACAGGACAAAGCATGGTCAACATTATATCTCTTACCACAAGGACAAAATGATGGTAAATATTTCGGTGTCCAGCGATATCTAAGACTGACTACATCATAGAATTTTCTCTTATTATATGTGTATAGAGATTTATGCACAGCAGAATGATGAAATAAAAGTCGTATTTCACTGTGTAAATAAATTTCATGCAATTTGATTGGACGTACGATGTTTTTCACGTGTGAAAAAATGCCATACACGGCTTTTTATTGGTCGTATGTCATTTTGGCGGCATTTTGTTTACATTTTCTTTCAAGATGGCGTCGAAATATAGGAGTGAAATTCAAAACATAATTCTCATATTCAAGATATTTTTACATTCAGCACATTCTCAAATCTTTCGGAAAGAATATCTAACTTCTATTGAACAAAATTACAAAGAAACTGAACGGTAATAAATATGTTTTGATGGATAAAGTTTCGATTTTGTTGCTCGCTGTGTTTTTGTATATTAAAAGCGTGTCGTTGTCAAATTGATCTCTATACAAATTTAATAAACAACTGAATTACTTCATGGTTGGCTCGTTTGTACGATTTTTAGTATGCACTCGTTGCGAAGGATCGCAAACTCACTCGTTCGCTGCGCTCACTCGTTCGTATTGCGATCCTTCACAACTCGTGCATAAAAATCGTACGCACTCGCCAACCATGAAGTAATCTCCATTTATTCCCCCCCAAAAAAATTCTGATTTCAATGGTAGCATTGTCAACCAACTAGATGTTCCCTTTAACCGGCTTAAATCATTTGCTCTAATTTCTTCGGGATTCATTTTCTCACGGACTTGCTGTAGGCCTGTTGTGGTTACGGTTTTCTCTAGCTTTAATTATGTTCCTCCTGGAATTTCCATACTACTCCCCATCCACAGGAGAAGTGCTGTCTTGATCTTTAGTACCAATTGGTTAGTGACAATGCGGGAGTTGGTGAATTCGAATAGGGCGTTCAAGAAAATAGGGGATTCCCAAACCACCTTTCTTTACCTGTGAAGAGAGAAGAAATAGCTCATCCTTTAAGCAAATAAGCACCTTCGTAATTGCTGGAATAAACTTATTGTCCACTATTTCATATAATGTTAAAAGATGCTGCTTAATGTTGGGTTTGTTCTCATATGGTAGGTTAATTTGCGAATGAAGCCATTCATAAATCCTGCATAAGCTGCTTGAGGTTCTGATTTGGGAATCTTAGAGAACACTATCAATTGATCACGCCAAGAGCTTACCAATTCTTCAGCATGCTTGGCTTTACCAGTCTCACTTCCAACATAGCCACCTGGAGTTGTATTGACATTGACAGTAACATGATCTTGTATCTCCTGACCTGGCATTAATTGAGTTGAATGTGTATCCACAAATCTTTTTCTACATGTACCCATATGAACATTTTCCCCAGGATTAGTTGGAAAACGTCGTTAGCACAGATTACATTGATAAGCTGCGTGTCTTTCTATTTGTTCATGTTCGATTTGCTCCATGTTTTGCTCACCTTGCATATTTCCTTTTGGCTATGCGATAATTTTAATAAATGTAAAATGCTAATGTCCTGAATCATACGTCAAGGAATATTTAGGCCTGTCGGAATTATAATAATAACTGCATCTATGAAAACGTAGATTAGGAACTCTCGGAATTTTTAGATTTAGTGGACACTAGTGTCCATGCTGCTAACGAGCATATCAGGGAGCGATTATTGAAGCCGGAGTAAAAATGCATCGGACTCGTCAACAATAATAAAATCATCAAGTAAATCATCTGTGAAATCAAACATAACCATATCCTCAAATGATTAGATCGCAAAGTCACAGAAAGGAGACTCAATTGTTGAACTTCGAGAACAATAACCGAGGGATGCTAATGAACGACTAGAAAAATTAGAAGAAGAGCATGAAAAATGAAATAAGGGCGAAAGAATACAGCAAGAATAACAAAAAGGCAACATCTGTGATTGACGATCCGGAACCTATTAAAACGTCCCTATCTCGTCCTATTCCCGACCCCCCATCTTATTGAAACTAAAAGGCGCAGAGCTGCTAAGCTTCTCTGATGTTGATAAACCGATTTCAAGACGTGGAACGCGGCATTCACATCAGTTGTTGATGAAACAAACATGCCAGTAAAGGAGAAAATTCTACGGCTGCAGAACTGTCTGAAAGGAAAAGCGTTAGAGACGGTAAAGGACCTTGGATTCACTCAGCGTGCGTACGAGAGGGCGAAAGAAAAGTTACAACGCGAAAGAAAAGTACGGTGGTAAACGTAGACAGAACCTGACCCATTTGGCAACCTTAAGAGCACTACCCAAGTTTGGTACGACGCCATAACCTGGAAGCCTTGTTAACGCTAGACAGTATTCTTATCGTATTACAAGAGGATGATCGTGGTGATGATGAAATTAGAAGTTAGCACCATGACAGTGAAGGAAAAACTTCCAGTGTAATACGTCCGAGATTATAAGTATTGGTTAAATGAGCGGGATGAAGATCATGATTTTAAAATTGAGAGGTGTGCTTGCATCATGGATGAGGCTAAGGAGGAAACGGGAGAATTCGCCAAAGCGTCCATGGAGGATGACGTCATAATCTGGGCTTTAATGCGGATAAGAAAGTTTGGAAATTTATCGTTAGGAATTGTGACGCCAATCATCCGGCTTGGGTTTGTGCAGAATTTAAAAAGCTCCCTGTAGCTACACGAAATCAACTAATTGCTAAAATAGGACGGTGCTTTTCTTGTCTAGCGGCTGGTCACCGAAGTAAGAATTGTTGCAGAAAGAGAAAATGTGGAGTCAGCGGAGCTGAAAGTAAAGGACATAGCAGCTTGTTGCACGACCCTGAGAGAATAAGAAAATAGAATGAAGATAATGACAACAAACAAGATCAGACCAATCCTTCAATTGGAGGGACGGACGCAAGAACCTATACGACAAACCGAGTTGAACAAATAACATTGATGGTTTTCCCTGCAATTGTCGAAATTGGCGGCAAGAAGCTAAAAATCAATGTTATGATTGATCCTTGCTCCATTTGATCATATTTCACTGAAAGCCTATATAGCAGAAGAGTTGCGCTTGAAAGGAGAAAAACTGGATTTGACCATATCAGGAACAGGCGGGACGGAGTTTAAGTGACAGTCGAAACGTATACAGTATATAGAGTTTGTGGTCATATCAATGAATGGAACCTTTTCATTGCCTGTGGAAGCAAATGTGTTAGCTAACGTAACGGGGAACACGCCGGCAATTGAGCGGAACGAATTTAAGGGCAATTTGCCACACTTGGAGACCATCCAGTTTGAAAGAGTTTGAAAGCGAAAGCAGATCGATATTTTAAACGAAAGCGATCACCATGTATTCCTTAAAGTGTTAAGAGAAGTTACAGGAAAGAATGTTAAAGACCCAGTAGCACGACAAACGCCCCTCGGTTGATCTGTTTTGGTCCAACGAGTAAGAACCCGGACGACATAGACCACCCAATCCCACATGACACGTACATACCATACCGAACATATTCAAGAAATAAGTGACAATCTTGAAATTTTTTGAGGGCTTGAAGCCATTGGCATTAAGGACGAGAACGTTCGACCACTGACAACAGACGCGAAAACAGGAGTTGAAATTGTGCAATCAACCCATTATTACACTAACGGGAGATATGAAGTAGGTGTTCCTTGGAGAGATGGTGAACCCGATTTCGCCGACAACTACGACATGGCTCATTTAAGGCACTGCAGCTGGAGTCGTCCCTAAGAAAGAAACCGGATGTCGCTATTGCATACAACCAGATAATTCTGACACAGCGCAATTAAAAACAAATGTCTGAACGACGCGCCCAAGCTCCAACGAGAATTGGTAGACATTTTAACCAGGTTTCGAAGAGAACCTGCGGCAGTGAGAGCAGATATCTCTCAGATGTTCTTACAAGTCAGACTTGCAGAGAAAGATCGACCTTTTCATCGTTTTCTATGGCGTGATTTGAACAAAGAAAAAGAACCCAAAATTTACGAGTTTCAGCGTCAAACATGCGCAAATACCTCTTCAGAAAGATCGCTTCCCGAAGGCCGCAGATGCAGTGGATAATGCGATCCATTGCATTTTCTGGCTCCTTTCATTATACGAGCGAAATTATTGTTGCGAAAGACATGGGCAGCTGAAATTGGTTGTGAAGACAAAATGCCACACGATTTGTGCAGAGTGGAACAATTGGGTAAAATAACTGAGCGACTTTTAAACGGATTTGAAGTCCCTCGCCCTCTTCGCTTGCCGGAACCTACGGACGTCTAAATGCACACCTTCTCAGACGCATCCCAAGATTTCTATGCAGCAGTGTCTTATACGCATCGAAGCTGTTCAAAGTGATTGAAGACCAGCTTCCTGACGCACATGGCTATGCTGATGATACACAACTTTATTTAAGTTTTAAGCCTAATTCTGGTTCATCACAACAAGACGCTGTGTTAGCTATGGAGAATTGTATAGAGAAGATTAGGCGGTGGATGATCCATGATAGACTGCTGATAAATGACGATAAGACTGAGTTCATGATTATTGGTACTCGTCAGCAACTGAGTAAATTACAACCTACGAGCATCTCAGTAAACAATTCCACAATCTATCCTAGGCCCATTGTCAAGAATCTAGGAAGCTGGCTTGATTCACATTTGAAGATGTCCACTCATGTTACAAATGTATGTAAAGCATGCTTTTTCCATCTTCATAACATCAGGCGTATTAAGAAGTTTTTGTCTAAAGACAGCTTGTTGATCCTAGTACATGCATTTATTACCAGCAAATTAGACTACTGCAACAGCTTACTTTATGGTCTTCCCAAAAAACAGATTTCTAAACTCCAACGCGTTCAAAATGCCGCTGCCAGACTGGTCATGGACATTCGGAAGCACTCCCACATTACTCCTGTTCTGCGCGAACTACATTGGCTTCCTGTCCACGCAAGAATTCACTTTAAAGTGTTACTTTTAACTTTTAAGGCCATCCACGGGCTAGCACCCTCTTACATTCAAGATTTGATTACAGTCAAGTCTAAGTCCTCATACAGTCTTCGATCTAACAGCGGCATTTTGCTGCAACCTCCGAAAGAGAAAATGCTTGTGACATTGGGTGGCAGATCGTTTCATGCGGCTGCACCTCAGTTATGGAATAGTCTTCCAGTTAATATTAGAACAATAACTGCAAGTGAAGTGTTTAAGAAATCACTTAAGACCTATCTTTTTAACCAATTTTTAATATAGAAATTAATTTTTAATAATTTTAGTCAATTTATTTATAGAAATCAATTTATAGAAGTCAATTTTTAATATAATATTTCTATTTTAGTTTGTAAATTATTTATTTTATACTAGTTGTAGACATTGCTTATAGAACGAACCTGTGCATGTTAAGCGCTATTGATCTGTCACTGTAAATAGGGCTATACAAGTATTAAAATTATTATTATTATTATTATCTTGTCAGTAATTACGAAGATCGCGAATCCACCTCATCGATAGTCGCTTCCAAGAGCCGAATCACGCCACTAAAGTGAATGGAGCAACGTACTGGACGGATTATCGAACGTCCTGTATTGGGTGCTTTACCAAAGCCGTGCATTCAAGCCATTTGGAGCCAATCCAGTTGCAGAGATACAGAGACATTCCAACCCAGATCAATGGGAACAGAATACCTCTTCACAGAACTTCGTTCGAGATTTTGGATTATAAAAGGGAGATTGACTGTTAGAACTCTAATTGTAAATGTCCTGGATGCAGACGAAGGTTCCTCGCGAAGCCATGTGGTCAAATAATGGCTCCCCTGCCAACTCCAAGAATAACTTTACCCTTAAGAGCATTTGAGCGAATTGGCACAGATTTCGCAGGACCATTTCTGACGAAACAACGACGTGGGAAGCCGCGGATGAAGCGATACCTTTGCCCGTTGACCTGTTCAACTACCTGCGCGGTACACCTGGAAATGGCGTACAGCTTAGACGCCGATTTGTTAATAAACGCATTTGTGCGGTTATGTGCACGGAAGGGGACGCCTTCTTATGTTATCTCGGACAACGGGACGAATTTTGTGGCCAGAGAGAAGGTAATACGAGAATAAGTCAAGACCTTCGATCAGCAGAAGATAATGAATAACGACTCCACACCAGTTAACCCTCCCTCCTCTCCAAATTTTGGATGAGTCTTCGGATATATATATATATATATATATATATATATATATTATTATATATTATAATATATATATTAAATAAGGCTAAAAATAAACAAACTAGATACAGATTAAAACACACGAAATGACTAGATTTATGGTACATTTTTATTACATTAGGAGAAGCATGCATTACATATAGGTTATAAGGGCTCTATATACAGACAACTAAATTAATAATTATATAGTATTTATATACAAGTAGGGTAATAAATACATTTGCCATCCGTATACAATTACAGATGTGTTTCAATGGCATTGTGGCCACGATACTGTTCAATTGATATTTTCATAACGACATAAATAATAAACAATCACTGTCATTATTTACACCTTCTGATCAAGCTCAGATTTTTAACTTCTCTTTAACATCTGTTGAATGAAGAGTCCTACGTACTAAAATAACAGAACCTTAGTTAAAATACAGCTGATTCATTGGTTTCAAATTTCAATCAGTGAAATAATTCGAGTGTAATTTGTGTCTTACCTTGAAAAATGTTCATGACAAACAGCTACATGTCGGAAAAATATTTCGATAAACATTTTGAAGCAAGTTCCACGTGTAATGTGATGTAACGAATTATATATGCGCCTTGACATATGCGTCACGAAACGTCATAAATCTATTGTTTATGAAAATCCTGAGACCCAAAATTTTTCATAATCGAGATAATTCAAGCTCGCAATACATAGTTCGCGACGAGACTGGGGCAAGTCACAAAGAAATTCAAGACGCAGTGAAGATTAGGTTGCTGCCTCGCTACGCTCGACAGCAAAAAAAGCATGCGTCAAATGGGATATAATATAGTTTTTTCTCTAGCCGCGCAGCTATTTCGAATTACAATGTTTCAAACCGACATGGTAAATTATTCTTGCAATTAATGATAGCTTTTCAATTATGATGCAGTAAATGATAACCCGATACGTTATTATATATTCAAATCTAATTAGTAATTCATAAATGATTCATATAACGTATCAGTATTTATATCCCAATGGGTATAATCTGGGACTATTTATTTACCTGTTGAGGAACATTCTACTCCGGCGTCGTTATGATGGGAGCAATAATGATTCCCCCAACCATTATGAGAACAATCTGAAATATTCTTCTCTTCCCCGGTACAAGCGACATAAGATAACCATATCTCTCCGGAACCAGAAGGAACCTGGTGCCTTTGAAGAGTTCTAACAACATCTGCATACCCAAGTTGTCGACATACAACCCTGGCATCTCTCATATCCCAATCACGATCACAGATTGTTCCCCAATAACCATGATACAATATTTCAACACGACCAGTACCATTTGCACTCAGCGGTCCTTGCAACCTGACCAGCACAGGTTTGGTTGAAAAATCTTAGGAATAAGTTATTAATAAATAGGTAGAATAGTATAGAAAATTTCGGAATAATATTAACAGATATTTTCCTGTCACAAATGGTATGAAATCACAGAATTTTACGACCTTTTACTTTTGCATGCCATGCATTGGCGTTGGCAACTTTTAGGAGGTTGATTCATCACAGAAATAGCGTGCGACAATTGTGAGAAAAAATCTCATGGTATATAATTATGCTGGCCTTACGATAAACTTTTACCAAATCAATAGCAGGACCGTAGCTAGATCGCCTAATTTGGTGAACTGAGGAAAATCGTTCGTCCACTCAAAAGGAGTGAACAGCATTAAAATATAAAAATCGCACGTCTACGCAGTGAAAGATTTTTTTTTCATCATTATACTACATGTGCATAAATCCTATACATACATAAAAGTCATATATTCATTACCGTAGGAACAAGAGCGTGCTAAAGAAATCAGTCAGGCATAAGATGAATATATGAATATACACCTCCCCCCAATTAAGCTTCTAGCTAGGCCCTGAATTCACTAATACCTTTTGTTGAACATTCGACTCCAGCGTCTCTAGAATGAGAGCAGGAATAATATCCCCAATTATTACGAGGACAGCTTACAATATTGTTCTCTTCTCCAGTGCAGGAAACATAAGGTAACCATGTCTTTCCAGAACCAGGAGGTACCTGGCCACCTTTGAGGGCCCTAACAGCATCTCGATAACCAAGTTGACGACAAACAACCCTGGCATCTCTCATATCCCATTCATAATCACAGATTGTACCCCATTGCCCGTGATAGAATACCTCAACACGACCAGTACCATTTGAACTTGATGGTCCTTGCAACCTTACTATTACAGCTGCTGCAAGTTAATGATAAAAGTTTGTCTCACCCAGAGAATCAGAGGGATAGTATGGTCGCACTTCACAAGAATATGCCTAGGAAAAATGTCCTTGTCCCCTAATAATACAACTCTTTGAAAATCAACCTGAGTATCTGTAATTACATATAGATCGAACTCACACAAGTACATTCTCTACAAGCCTGGCGATTTTCGAAGATGTAAGAAAAAAATTCAAAAACATTTTTGTGTGGGATCCTTCAAATTGAAGTTTAATGAGACTTGTTGGTGTCTAGATCTTTATTTTCCGGAAATTAAAAGGTGAAAATATTTTTTGTAAGAATTTTGCCAAAATTTTCAAATTTTCTATATTAACATGAAAATAATTATTATGAAAATTAGTAACGTCGAACACATGTAGTAAGCCATTTTTGTCGAATTTCCATCAAAATTTCAATTATACTAATATACAATTCTCACAATAGAATTGGGGATTGTGATTTATAAAAATACCTTTTCTAGTACATTCCACTCCGATGTCATGAGAATGAGAACAAAGATTGTTTCCCCAACCACTATGAGAGCAGCTTGTTAAATTTTGTTCTTCCCCAGTACAAGAGACGCGAGATAACCATACTGGCCCAGAACCAGGTGGAACAAGATTACTAGGAAGTGCCCTAACATATGTATGATCCAGATCATAACCGAGTTGACGACAGACAACCCTAGCATCTTTCATGTCCCAACCAAAGCTGCAGATTGTCCCCCAATATCCATGATAAAATAATTCAACACGGCCAGTACCATTTGTACTTGATGGTCCTTGTAATCTTATTCTTACAGCCTCGTCTGAAAAATCTTTAAAAAAAAATCTGCGTCAGCCAGTGTGTGAAGTCGAGCTAACATAAACATGATGGATTGCAAGACGCAGGAGAATTTACGTGAAACATCTAAAGAGAAAGTTTGAAAAACATAATTTTCAGCTTGGTGTTTTAGGTGCCCCAGTTTTTGTTTTTAAGATACAATGATGTTAATTGAATAAGATGCAACGATACAACCTTAAGATGCAACGATGTTAACTGAATATACTTATTTCCTGCATTAATTCTTTTCGGTAATATTTTCATACCAATTGTGGAACACTCCACTCCGGCGTCTTGGTAATGAGAGCAATGATTAACTCCCCAAGGACTGTGGGTACAACTTGTGATATTTTGTTCTTTTCCATTACAAGCGACGTAAGCTAGCCATATAATTCCTGAACCTGAAGGAATATTCCTTCGAAGTGTTCTGACAGCATCTTTATAACCAAGTTGACGACATACAACCCTCGCATCTCTCATATCCCATCCATCATAACAGATTCTTCCCCAATGGCCATGATAGAATACTTCAACACGACCAGTACCCTTTGTACTCAATGGTCCTTGTAACCGGAGAGAAACAGGCGTAGCTGGCAAATCTTAAAAGAATGTCAAACCGCGATCAACTAACGTTAGTGACACCAATTTTTCTATTAAACGTTCGCGCTTTAGATGATTTATCCGTAAAAAGGTGTCGTAAATAGTTTTTTTCTATTAACGTCTCTTGAATAGAAAAAAGCGCCCATTATAATTGAAAATTGATTTTATATCGGAAACGAGATCGGTGACCCCTAATTTTTTTGCCACAATTTTGAATCAATCACAGAAGAATTAACATTTGAAGCTTTTTCTTTGTTTCTGAAAATTGTGTACTGTTTAATATTTCCGGTTCCTCCAAACAGTCCCTAGATGCTTTGCCGTTCGCGATTAGACCCGGTATCTTGATCAATTGGGAAATGGTTAATTGTGTACTCGGTTTAAATAGCGAGGGGTTGCTGCATGCATGTATTTCTAGTGTGGAACATATACGTAACCGGAATTTGTATTTGAAGTTAAGTCATTTCAATTCATTTACAAAGCATTTGTTTATAATGAAAACGTTTGGCTTAGTATAGATACGCCGAACGTATAATTAAACAAATAAAATAATTGTGGGTTAACCAGAAAAAATGTACTAAGTGTTTCGACTATTTTTCTGAACGAGATTAATAATCAAAGCAGCCTCAAATCACATCACGATGTTGCAAAATAGGTTCGACGAATAAACACATATGTTGCAAAATAGGCTCGACGTGATTGGCATTATGGGATCGACAATTGTCTATGATAATGATGAACCCCGCGACTATAGAGTCAATGACCAATGAACTCGTTTACACTATACCAGATTCACATGGTCACGACATAAGTTTAAGTTGTTTTACGGTATTTCTTACGGTATATGTTTTCGTAACTGATCATGTTAAACAAATCATCATACATTCGGGGGTAAAACGTCGGTTGACTGGTAATTATTGTGATCATGCAAATCTGGAAGTAAATAAACATCGTCCCTTTTCCCGTTTCTTTAAGCACGAAGCTTATGGACTTTAATAGCTGAAATTTAAAAAATTGAACTTTTAAACTTTGTTTCTGGACTGTGTATTCAGTAATTGCTGTCGACTGTAAAAGCTCTGAAGTGATATTTGTTCTATGATCATGAAAATTCAAAATTAAACTTTCAAAGTTAAAGCGATTCCGTAATAGCCTAAAAGAAAAATTACAAAATATTTGGTAAAATGAGAGCTAAATTCGTTACATTTTTATTGAGATGGAAACTTTTTGTCTTAGCAAATTACGAAGTTACTTATTACCAGTCTTCTACTCGTCCGAACTTCGCGCATGCGCAAAACCACTATTTGAACAACTTTGGATTTGGCTATGTAATGTCAACATACACAAGCGTAATTAGTAACAGTAATTATTTACTTCGCACCGTCTCTGTGTTTAAACGGCCACAGATTTATTTAATATTCGATTTACAGCGTTGCAAGATCGGCACAGACTAATTCTTTTTCACGTGCGCTGGCAGACTTTTTTCTCTCCTCTCTCTCTCTATGCTAAGAGCCTGCTTGCCGGCTGAAGAAATGATTTCTGCCTGGTCGATGGAAAAGGTTTATTTTTTACCAACGTTCAAAAAACATATCATTAATGCCAGTAAACAGTGGTTTCAAAAATTTGATTTTGAAGTATCTTACCTGTGCTAGAACATTCAACTCCGGCGTCGTAAGAATGAGAACAATGTTTATTAGCCCCCCAACCATTATGAGAACAACTTCTAATGTTATTTTCCTCTCCTTTACAAGCTACGTGGGCTAACCATATCTGTCCAGAACCAGACGGGACCAGGTTTCTATAAAGAGTTCTACTGTGTACATGATCTAGATTATAACCAAGTTGACGACAAACAACTTTAGCATCTTGCGTATCCCATCCATAATCACAGATTGTTCCCCAGTATCCATGATAGAATACTTCAACACGACCGATACCATTTGCACTTAATGGTCCTTGTAACCGCAATTGAACTGGAGAAATTGAAAGATCTAAAAAGCATGTATAATGCTAATGGGACAAAAGTAGGTGAGTATTTACATAATAGTGGTGTAAATGTCAAGTAATATAATCTAGTAATGATCTTTTCGGACATGATCATCAACAAAGGCCTGGACTGAAAAACGTTTAACTGAAAGCGTATCTCACTGTTAATTTTAGAGTGTTACAATAGCACCTTCATAGGTGTTTGTTTTACTCGTTGCTGAGGTGTTAAATAACATGTGCTAATTTATTAACACCGATTTAGGCGTTAATTTAGCATCATAGATTCGGGAGTTGATTTAGAAGAGCTACTTTAAGACCCCTGACACTTAACACCTTTCGGATATAACAAAGAAGTGATATAGGTTGATACAGAAGCAGATTTAGGCGAAATGTAACAATTTCTAAATATCTTGTCATTCTTTATATTATCGCTGAGCAGATTAATATTTAGCCGAATATAAAAAGATGAGCGGTAAGAACGGTCAGTGGCGTACGGGATACGATGATTGGGGGTGGGGCAAAGATTCATATATTTCTGTAAAGACAATGGCTTTGAAAATAAATTAATCTTGCACAACATGAAAATATGAATATGTCCCCCCCCCAATTATTGTTTCCCTTATAGGATAGGTTAAAATGGCACTCGAAAACATGTAATTTTGTACTTTTTTTTTAGCTCCTTTTTTCGTCCTAAATTAACACCATAAAATTAAAAGTGCTGTAAAGACATTCCATCCATGCTCGTTATCAAATAACCCTGCTCCATGTCCAGGAAAATTGCCAAATTTTTCGCAAATTTTTCACCAAATATATTGACAACTTCATACCTGTTGTAGAACATTTTACTCCGGCATCTTGAGAATGAGAGCAGGAATGAATCCCCCAACCATTATGATAACAGCTTGTAATGTTTTCTTCCACTCCAGTACAAGCGAGAGCGACTAGCCAAATATTTCCTGAACCAGAAGGAACCTCATTCCTCTGAAGAGTTCTTGCAACATCTTGATAACCAAGTTGACGACATGCGACTTTAGCATCTTTCATATCCCATCCATCATCGCAGATTGTTCCCCAGTATCCTTTGTGTAATACTTCCACTCGGCCAGCACTACTACTTGATAGTCCTTGTAACCTTAGCGACCCAGATAGGAAACCTGAATTCACAATGCATCTCAAACGTTTGCATTCTGATGCCCGACATTTTTTTAGCGATGATTTAAGGAAAAAGAGTATGGTTCTGACACAAATGTATTATGTGAAAATCGTGCAGTGGGCAATTTTTCTTCACATTCGACGTGAAGCTGTCTTCAGTGTATTTTAGGGTATATTTAGCGTTTTATCAGGAAAATTTCCCAAAACCTCGATTTGTTATTTTTAGAATTGAGTGGTGTAATGTAAACCTCCCCCCTCGAACTTTTCTTTCTTGGAATGGGAATATACATGAAAATGAATAACTCTATACTTATTGCAATACATAGGTGGGAGTATCGTATCTCAATCTCCATAACGATTTACCTTGACACTGATGTGGTACAAATTGAATTAAAAAAAGAATGGTGCCAGTTATGAAGGCGAAGCTTGTCATCTGGTGAACTGGTAACTGAAACGATAAAATATGCTTCGGTTATTATTTTGTTAACGCATGTTCAAAGTTGAGAGGCCTAATTTCATGTGAACGCAGTGTTAATTAGTATGCCATTTCACAAAACTATTTCCTGTTTTCCACTTGTCGCAACTTTCGAAATCGTGTGCACGCAAAATTCCGCCTAGTGCATGGAAAGTGGGCATGAAATCTACGAAATTAACTATGATATCAGCTGGATATTACCATTAATTAGGATTAGCTATATCTGAAAAATATATTATTACTTGTTTGCATGGCTAGAAATACATGCCGTTATAGGAGGTGAGGTGTGTTTGCTCATGCGGCTAAGTTTCAGTTCATTATTTAGATCAGTGATGCTCAATTCGAGATAATATGGCGATTCTTTTTATTTTTTCACAGATTAGCGATATACACATACGAAACTGAAGCCAAATTGAGTTACCCGGTTTTTGCCCGATGTTTGCATGCGTGACTTGCTTGGCATGTCATGATGACAAACAAATGCTGATTTTAACAAAACCTTTAGGGCGATGTCCCATTTGACTTAGAATTTTTTAAAAAGATCAATGAAGTGGACCTTCTGAGCTAAGAACAAAGTTATGAAATTATTTGATGCTGGCAAAAACAGGAAAATATAGCTGAGGAGCACAGGGCTTGTCTTATGGAAAGCTGTGCAATAATTTAGCACTGGCTGAGTTTAGAAAGCATGTAATACATGTTTTAGATACGATATATCTCCAGGAGATAAGATGAAATAAATTAACAAATATCTAAGAATGATAGAAATATGAAAATGAAATGATAAGCGCTTTAGAGAGTGCTCGTGACCAAAAAATGAATTTTACATTTTAGAATCTTTGTTACTAGTGTTACCAGTGTATAAAAAAAAACGAATTGCAATTGCGACTTTTGTTTAGAAGTTATTGCCACTTAAACATAGAATTTGGCAAAGGAAACCGCGCAAAAGGGATTGGTACAAAATCATTGATGTGACGTTAAAGTAGGAACCGGTTACAAATTATATTACAAAATCATTAGCGTGCATTATTCAGATGTTGTTGTAAGAAATGTGACGGCGCAAAAAAGTCACGCAAATAGAAATATGCCGAATAGATGTATTGTTGGGGGTTGGTCTATCACCTCTAATGCGGACAAAGAAGTTTCTCTTCATTTTATACCGTTTTCTGGTGACGAAAGTCCAGAAGCAAAAGAGTATTTGTTCAGCGCATTTTGACAAGAAAGATTTCACACAAATGTTTCCTGGTTTCTCAGGCCCGTAGGAAGCAATTTTTTA